TTTGGAAATAAAATAAAAAGATTACTATCAATATTTTTAAAAAAAAACTAATAATTAAATTTATGATTGGTAATTAAAAAAATCAGTTAGTTAGAACGTAGAACTTCCTATATGAGAGTACATCAATTCACGCAGTCATACCTTCATCAGCACAGAGACGTAACTGTCCAGTTCAAATCCCATAGTGGTAGTGATAGTAGAAGTATTAGCAGTAATGGGGAAGATTAGGGTTGAAAAATATGATTCGAAAAGTATAATTCAATGAGATAACTTAAGAAAAAGAAAGATAGAGGTGTTGATGAGGAATTCAGAAGGTTAGAATTAGAGAGAATACAAAGAGTGGATGCACTTGCGCCATTGCAAGCGATTCTGAGTCATGTCATTCAAGGTCTCTAACCATTAGTGACTTTCGTATCGTGGACCTCAACTACATAGTCTACATCTACCAAAATGACTCAGTCCACTTGTCAGTGACTTCATGTTTTTGTTTGATCGCCCCTAACTTTCTTCCAACCTACTCCTACCTCACAAAACATCGCTCATCGAGGCAGTCGGTGATTGGTTAATTGAAAAAATTATTTTAATTAGATTATTCAATAGAGAGACATAGATTGTTTGAAATTCCCTATAAATTACTTAGAATCTACAACATCATTTACTCACAAATGATTATTATAACGAGTTAAAAAGACTTTGAAATTCTAAATTGATCATTGTTAGACGACTATTAGGATCCTGGAAGCACTGGACGGCCATTTCGTCCTAATATGGGACTCATCAGTAGTGCGCATCAACGTTAGACAGTAGCACCGTTGGATGCCACCGGCACAGTGGTCTAGGAGCTTAGCGTTCACGCGTGAGACCAAAGATCCTAGGCTCGAACCCCATGAGCAGAAATCGTTGATGCGCACTGCCACTGATGAGTTCTGTACCAGGATAAAATGGCTGTCCAGTGACTCAAGGTTTCTAATGGTTGTCTAGCAATGATCAATTAATAATTTTAGTTAAAAAAAACAGCAATCTCCATATCTGCATATTGTTTATGTTCATTCTGCATCATTGAATGACTATTATGTAATATTTTCGGGCAGATTTTTGGAGGTTTGTGTTCTTACACATTTGAAATCATTAATCAGTCATTGAGAGACCACCATTAGAAACCTGGAAGCACTGAACGGCCGTTTCGTCCTGGTATGGGATTCTTCAGCAGTGCGCATCCACGGCTCCCGAACCTCAAAGGATTCGAACCCAGGACCTTCGTTATTGTGCGCAAACGCCTAACCATCGGACCACTGAGCCGGTGGCATCCAAAGGTGTTATTGTCTAACTCTAATTGATCTACGGATTTTGCGCGACTTCACCCATTTGTCTTTTGGTAGTTACTGCCTACGCCCGACAGGGTTGAACTCCATTGGTCACGTCTTCTCAACTAGAACTCCGAGAATTTCATCACTAGGCTAGTCTCTAATGAGCACTGTATTATGTAATATCGTTTATTTGAATACAGTTGTAAATTGTGAAGTTTATACACCAAATTAATATATATAGTCAACTTAAGCTGACATTAGATATGCCAGCTATCCCTCATGGAGCATAGGACGCTGGACGATATTCTCCGACCAAATCTGTTCTCCACTGTCCTTTCCAGTTGTTCTCCAAGTTCTATTCATTATGTCCATGTCTGTCTCCAATTCTCGATGTAATGTGTTCTGTGGATTTTTACTTTTCTTTTGGTTTTGAGGATTCCAAATTACAGCTTGCTTAGTAGTGTGTATGTGTGTCCTATCCACTACCAGCGCTTCTTCCTAATTTCTTCTTCAGCTGGAATGCAGTTCGTTTATGTTACGCCTGCACGTAAACACGTCAACTTGATTTACCTGAACTATTACGAGTTTACCTAGTCGGCAAACGAGAGCGTGGATCGAGGATCCGGCGACACGACATGCTACTCAAATCCGATTATCCTAACCCTCATATTGAGTAAAAAATAAGACAAGACTTGATATGATGTAGAACCTGTATTCTTCAAGCATCCAGAAATTACTAGGTCCGAGTCCAGAAAAGAATCAGGATCCCAGAATAGGGATCCGGGACCGGGTCCTGGTCATAAAACGTTACAGACAATGCGTATTTATAAAGTTAGATCGAATAGGAAACAGCTTCGAATTCTGTTGCATTGATATCTACTAGGACGACCATAAAATTGACCAGTAGGAATTTAGGAATAGACCAATAATTCTTTTAGGATATTGGATAAATATTCTAACAGTTTTCTCCTAAAGTAGATTGTTACTGATAGTATCTGATCAACAGGTCCAGAATATCTTATGTAGACAACTGTTTGTAAGTATCTTTAAGTTTCAGCTCCGTCCAATAGAAATCTGTCGACATTTTCATTGAAAATGATGACTTCGATATTCGTTGACAGGTTTTTTTGAATTCCCAGACAATCTTCTGAAACCTATTTCACTATACTCAAAAGACTAACATCATTTTGAAAAATAAATAAAATCTACAGCGCATTGAACAACAGCTCCTCATCATCTCATTCAAAATGAAATCAAATGAAACGATACATTCGATTCAATGTTCAATAATAGTAGTGTGGTGCGAGCTACTTATAAGTAGTATATGACGTGAGTGTCAATGTAATGTCTGACAGCAGAAGATGGGGGAAGATCAAGAAAGGAAGAGTTAGAAGAACACAATGGAATTTGTATGAAACGCATGAATAGTGACAATGGATTGATGTTTTGCAACAGGAACAACAGTCCAGTTCGATATGATGATGAACTGATATTTTGCAAATGAACAATTTACGATATGGTTTTCCTATTTTACTGAGTAACTCTATAATTTCCGTTAAATACTATCCGGTTGCCCTCACCTGTGTTCTCGTTCACTACAGTAGAACAAATAGACAGTTTAGAAAACTTCATCATTAATAGCTATCTAAAGTATTTTTTTTTCAATTCCTTAAATGTAATAATCACAGTTTAAATGAAGTATTTGAAATACGAGCCTTTTCAAATTCACACTTCACTTTTGAACATTCATTGTTCAATATGAATATTTTTCCTTCTTTTTTTTAAAAAAATATTTTCGTTATGATTCATCGCAAACATTAATAAGTAACACTATATTCATTATAGTGGGATTTTTATCCATACACCTCCTACACAATGAAATTCAAATAAAAAGTGTAGGGAATTTGATCAAAGTATTCTTCTTAGCTTTCATGTTAGAAAATTGACAATGTAGGTTTTGCGTTACAAAAAAACAGTAATAATAATCCTGCTCAATGTGTTCAATGGTGACATTTTATTGTTTAAATAAATAGCCATTATTATGTGTGGGATTTGAATATATATTTTGCTGTAAATGACAAAAATAAGTTTATTTTCGCAATATGTTGTAACATGAAAGTAACTGAGGCATATTGTATGATAGGTATTTTATGCTTTTTACAGTTATATAGTTTGAAATATGAAGCTTCTATCGTGTTGATCACTAAAGTAGGTGACTCGACATCCCGTGCACAGTGTTGTTGTCATCGAAGGTATTCAACAGAAAAACTCTGGAACTAAGTTTCAGTCTATTAGGCCCTCATCAGCAAGGTGTACTTTTAACAAGTACAAGTAAACTTTGTTGACGACTGCCAAATATTCTGTTGACTATTTCTAACCAGGAGGCTCGTTTATTGACCTAGAATAAGACGGTGATATAGGTCTATTCGGTGAAGACGCTCAAAAAATGCAGAGTCTTGTGACCACACTAAGCAACAATACAAGCATGTTTATAATGCGATTCTCCTCGTCAAAATGTAAAATGTTGCTTCAAGTTTGGGTTTTATTGGTACCTGAACTAGTGATAACAACTGAAGCGTGTTGACCACTTCAAATATCTCGAGAGTCTCATCAGTGCTGATGGTCTGGTGTCTGACGAAATCTCAGCACGGATAAAGAAGTCTCAACTGGCTTTTACCAATTTGTGTCACTTATAGCGTAGGCGAGATTGTAGGATTTATTTTGTCCTACAGATATAATTCCAGAACCGTAAACGCAATATTGGCGAGTACAGAGTCTATGGGAAAGCTGCTCTAGTCAGAATAAGATCAACTTTTGCTTTAAACTTTATCTGTTTCTAAACATAAAAACACAATTAGATTAGTACAATAAATAAGGAAATTACAGTTATCAAGTGAAACGATCAAACGTACCGACCAAAATAGCGTGTCTTATGGAAATGAGTGAAGTTATGAGTCATATCAATATAATAAGATAATAATGTTAATCAATTTTTAGGTCATTTACAACAAAGAAAGTTTACAGACACGTCAGATCAGATTGGTTAGTTATAACCTAATTACAATTAGTTATGGAAATAACTAACATTAGGTACGATAATAAACGTCATCAATACTTCGTAGTGCTCTTTTGATGTATACATAGTTGGGCGTTATCCCTAGTGACGGTTATCAGGACGAACAGTAGACGACGTTTAAGAGTATATCCAAAACCGACTGCCATAGAGTTGCTGAACCCACAAGCACCACAATTTATATTTGTTCTGGTCAGCGTTTTTTTTTGGCAAGTTAGTTTTTCGACGGGATGGAGTCGCCAAGCCCATGAGCCCAACCCTCCTCTTTTATTCGGGCTTGGGACCGGCAGTAGCCCCGAAGGGTTACTAAGAGTTACTAGGTAAAATCGGAACACCATATTGTAAATCGTTCATTTGCAAAATATCAGTTCATCATCATATCGAACTGGACTGTTGTTCCTGTTGCAAAACATCAATCCATTGTCACTCACTATTCATGCGTTTCATACAAATTCCATTGTGTTCTTCTAACTCTTCCTTTCTTGATCTTCCCCCCCATCTTCTGCTGCTGCCAGACATTGCGTTGACGCTCACGTCATATACTACTTATAAGTAGCTCGCACCTTTTCTAGTTAATTTTTGATTTTTCAATGTACTCGCTTATTTTCTCCAATTCACAGGAAACAACATTCACCACTGTTTTGGCATATGATTTGGGAATGCTTGCTCATCATTGCACTTGTCAAACTGACGCCAATCATCCAGAAAATCCTCAACGATTAATATCGATATGGCAAAGACTTCAAGTAAGTATTCTATCTATATATATATTGCGATTGATCAATTTGTGTTTAGCCTATATATATATAATGTATCCTGTACACAGAATGCTTCACTAGTGATTTTACGTAAATAGTGACTAGAAGTGGAATTTAGGACGTACACTTTGTTCTGTTTGGGACTTGTCTGTGGCTGGATATACTTGCATCTCAAATAGAACATTTCACATTTCATGGATTCTATTGCTATCAACTATCCTTTACTTACTTACTTACTTAATTACGCCTGTTACCTCCAACGACCAGCATTCTCTAACCTACTCTGTCCATTCTGGGCCTTCGTTTCTAGTTCTGTGCAACTATTGATCATTCTTCTAATGTCTATCAACATTTCTCGGCGTGATGTGTTCCCTGGCCTTCCTCTTCTCATTTGACCTTGATAATTCCAAGTGAGGGCTTCCCTCGTGACGTAGTTGGGTGCTTTCTTCCCCGTTTGTCCTATCTACTTCCACCGCTTCTCCCGGATTTCCTCCTCCACTGAAGGAATCTGGTTCGTTCTCTCCCATAGTATGTTGTTGCTGATGGTGTCTGGTCAACGGATTCGAAGTATTTTGTGTAGACAACTGTTAATCAACACTTGTATCTTCTGGATGATGGTTTTCGTAGTTCTCCAAGTTTCCGCTCCATACAATAGAATTGTCTTGACATTTGTATTGAAAATTGTGACTTTGATGTTGATTGATAGTTGTTTTGAGTTCCAGATGTGGTTCAGTTGTAGAAATGCTGTCCTTGTTTTACTGACGTGCACCTTCACATCTGCATCAGATCCACAGTGTTCATCAATGATGCTGACCAAACCGCTAAACAGCTACTATCCACTTCTGCTAATAACTCAAATATAGTGAAGCAGAACACAGTTGAGGGCAACCGAATTAGCAATGAACCATACTGTGTGACCATCTTTTACTCGAACACCACTGGTCGAGTGACGGCTTATGGCGAACTGTCACCGGAATTCTCTACATCAAGTGGTGTCCGTCAGGGATGTCCACTCTCTCCATTCTTGTTTAATTTTATCATAAACATGCCCCTAGAAATAACCTTATCCTCGTCTGAATTTTCTGGAGTAGACCTTCTACCAGGTGGCTCGCTTATTGACTTAGAATATGCTGATGATATTGTCCTACTTGGTGAAGACGCTGACAAAATGCAAAGAATTCTGACTACCATAAGCAACAATGCGAGCATGTTCGGGATGCGGTTCTCACCCTCGAAATTCAAAATGTTGCTTCAAGACTGGGTTGCATCGGCACCTGAACTAGTGATAGGGAGTGAAGTAGTCGAACGTGTAGACCGCTTCACTTATCTTGGGAGTCTCATCAGTGCCGATGGCCTGGTGACTGTCGAAATTTCAGCACGGATACAGAAGGCTCGATTGGCTTTTGCCAACCTGCGTCACTTATAGCGTAGGCGAGATATCCGTTTGCTGACTAAAGGACGAGTGTACTGCGCAGTGGTTCGCTCCGTTCTCCTATATGGCTGTGAAACATGGCCAGTGAGAGTAGAAGATATTCGTCGGTTACTGGTTTTCGATCATAGGTGTCTTCGAAGCATTGCTCGTATACCGTGGGAAAACCGAGTAAGCAACGCTGTTATTAGGAATCGGGTGCTAGGTAAGAATGGCAGATCAGTCGATGAAGTGGTGAAACTTCATCAGTTGAGATGGTTGGGACATGTGTTGCGTATGCCTAACCACCGACTGCCTCGTCGAGCCTTGTTTTGTAGTGTAGGAATAAGTTGTAAGAAAGTTAGGGGCGGCCAAACCAAAACATGGCAAAAATCCATGAAGTCATTGACGAGTGGACTGAGCCATGTCGGTAATTGTCAACTACCTGTTTGGGGTCCGCGAGATGATAATAATCGACGGTTAGAGACCTTGAATGACATGGCTCAAAATCGTTCGCAATGGCGCCGGTGCATTTATTCTTTGTGTTCTCTCAAACCCTAATCTTCTGGATTCTTCAACCCCTCTCGTTTCGACTCTCTAAACTTTTCTCACTGAATCATACTTCTTGAATAATATCTTCTAATTCTAACCTCTCCGATTACTTCTAATTCCCTTACTACCTCTTCTACTATTGGATTTGAGTTGACAGTTATATCTCTGTGCTGATGTGGTATGGCAACATGAACTGATGTACTCATATACAAAGTTCTGCGTTGCATCTGACTGACTTGTGACCATTTTACTGCTTCTCAAGTCAATTATCACTTTTACCTCTCTTAGGAAATCTTCTCCTAATATCGGTCTCGATAAGCTTGTTGGTTACCATGAACGGAAAATTTATCTCAGCTTCACTCATTTTTACAATACTGTTAGATACCCCCCCCCCAACACCTCTAGCATATGCCCTCCTATGGTGTGGAAAGCTAATGTTGTACATGGTTTGATTGTCTTACATTGCTCTTTGCCTTGTTAACGATATAGCTGCCCTTGTATCGATCAAACACACTAACTCTTGTTCATTTATGTATGTTTTCGATAATTAATCTATGATTATAATACTGATTCTCAAAATCGCATTTTAACCAAGACTTCTAGTTATAAATATGATCATTTTGTGTAAGATGGTTGTTGGAATTAGTCAATAGGGAACCCTGAACCTAGATTTCTTGTCATTTGGTGATTATCAACAAAGTATACTTGTACTATTGAAGGAACTAATACTCTCTTGTGCATTTGATTGCGTGTCACTCACCTTCACGTTATCAGTGAACTATTCGTAGTGCGACTAAACTGGGGAACGAAACGTAGGTCGAGGGTTTTTTGCTGACTATCTCCAGTTATCATCTTATATCTCAACATATATATATGGGTGCGTGTACGACGTGTAGGTGAGTACGTATGCATGAGCGTGTGTGCGTGTGTGTGCTGATTTGTATGTTTCCCTAAGCGGAAGGGGTTCTTCACGGATCTTATGTGACCCATGAACATTAGTAAACTACTATGAGATGGTCAAGAGATTTAATGGCTCAGATGGATGATTGTGGTGGAGTTTCATTCCCTGAGCTAAATTTATTGGTTGTGAAGTTTTCATTGGTCCTCTCATCAGTGCAAACTTTAGATAGAAATTGAGTATTAGAGTTTCTCCACCTGTGACTCGAAGCCTGTTCCATTGTCCTCGATTTTGATTGGTTGTTCGTGTTGGCATTTAATCTGACTGTGTGCCCCTTTGGTCTTTGATCGTATGTTTGCTTATGAATTTTCTGATTGGTTGATAAATTGGATCAATATCTATGTGTTTACTGATTGCTGATTGGTCTGAGTGCTAAGCTTCTAAAAAATTCTCTCATGCTTGTTCGCTGTACTCCCTCTCTATCCGGGACTTTGCCCTAAATAGTAAAAACCTTATTCGATTAGTGAATAATATTAGGCATTTTCTCGTTTTGGTGATTACAAATAGCTTATATGAAATAAAATATTTTACATAATCAAACTAAATTTATCACTTTTGTGACTGTGTTTGTTCATGATACCCTTAATCAAAGTGACAGAACTAAGTAAGCAGTGAATAGGAAAACATTGAGAAAACAGATAAATGCTTTTCCGGCAGAGTTTTGGAGGTTTGCGTTTTCACACATTTGAAATCATCAATCAATCATTGTTAGACCACCTTTAGAAATCTGGAAGCACTGAAACACGGCCGTTTCGTCCTGGCATGGGACTCATCAGAAGTGCGCATCCACGACTCCTGAACCTCGCAGGATTCGAACTCGGGACCTCCGGTATTGTGCGCGAACGCGTAACCATCGGACTACTGGGCCGGTATCCAACGGTGTTAATGTCTAATAAATCTGATTGATCTAGGGATTTTGCGCGACCTCACTCATTTGTCTTTGGTAGTTACTGCCTACACCTGAGAGGGTTGAACTCCATTGGTCACGTCTTCCCAACTAGAACTCCAAGAATTTCCTAACGAAGCTAGTCAATAGTGAGTACTGTTACGATATTTTCAGTTAGAGTTTTGGAGGTTTGTGTTTTTACAAATTTGAAATCATCAATCAATCATTGTTAGACCACTATTAGAAGCCTGGAAGCAATGGACATGGCCGTTTCGTCCTGGTATGAAACTCATCAGCAGTGTTTGTTTAACAGATTGAAAACTGTATGCCCTTGAATTGCATAGTTTGCAACATTAATTGACCTTCGTTAAATAAACATTCAAAATCATGATATTCTGATAGACAGCTGTTTTTTCTTATGCTAGTATTGAACTGTTCATTGATAATTTAAGGTGAGATTTCAACTTTAATACCGTTTGATCAGAGCATATGATGGTTTACAGGTATATAATTTACTGTGAGACGTTATGAACTCGGCTTTTTAACACTGATAAATTAGGGGATTTACATTGCTTAAATGTCAGTCAGTCAGTTGCAACGTAGAATTTCGTACGTATGTACATCAGGTCAAGTTACCATACCACATCAGCACACAGAGGCAAATGTCAAATCAAATCCCATAGTGATAAAGATAGTAGAGGTATTAATGGTAATGAAGAAGACTAGGGTTTGAAGATATTATTCAAGAAGTATAATTCAGTGAGATAAGGTTAGAAAGACAAAGGTAGAGGTGCTGACGATTCCAGAAGATTAGGATTTGAGAGAGCACAACGAATGGATGCACTTGCGCCATTGCAAACGATTTTGAGTCATGTCGTTCAAGGCATCTAACCATTAGTGACTTTCGTCTCGTAGACCCCAACCAGTTAGTCTACATCTACCAACATGACTCAGTCCACTTGTCAGTGACTTCATGGATTTCTGCCATGTTTTGGTCTGGCCGTCCCTAACTTTCTTCCAACCTACTCCTACACCACAAAACATAGCTCGTCAAGGCAGTCGGTGTACTATCCTTTGAAGAAACAACTGTTCAGTGTTGTATCATCCTTTCAAACTAAGATTCATGAATTATTCATCGTTAGACCACCATTAAAAACCTGAAAGCACTGGAGAGCCGTTTCGTC